CATCTACTTTGCAGGTGGAGCATGCCTTGATGGAAGGAGCAAAGGCTGCGGGCGCAGTCCTCTCAGCAGTGGTGGACAGTATAAGGCCCAAGCCAGTGACCGCCTGAGAGCGTGGGACACTCCACGTAGAGAAAGAGCTATGCTGATGGACAACAGAGCATCCTTCCTTCCCCCTGCCTTCCTCTTTCAGTGGACCCCTGTGAAAAACTGGTGGGCTTCTGGAAGAATCTAGAATGTATCCAATTACCCTTCCATAAAATACAACTGATATATGTGATCATGGACTCATAGAGTGGGGCGCTGGTGTTGTGGTGTTGCTTCCCCCAAGTCTCATTGCAGACAGATCATCAGGCCCGTCTTCTGTGCTCCTATGGCATGGATTTGACTGCTACCCTGCAGGTTAATGGCTAAGCACAAGCAGTGGCCAGTGTTAGAATGAAAAGAATGAAATATGTATTATACTCTTATTATGTGCCAGACATAATGCTAAGGATTTCAGATACCTAATTTTTTTTTCGGGACAGGAATAAGCCTTGCTTGTGTGTTTAGGCAGACCCTAATCATGGATGCTGGGCACTGGCTGAAACATTCTGGAAACTTCTACTTGCACATTTTCAGTGGTGAAGTACTATTTTCAGAAGCTCATTTTATTGAACTGAAATAGATCTCTAGCGTCTGTCCATTCATCCTGGTCCTGAGCTTTTAGACTCTACAGTGTGATTCAGAAGGGGGAGACCTTAAGTAAACTTGCAGCAAACATTTTGGGGCCAATTGTCCTTTAATTTTGAAATACTTTTCCCAAGATATGCATTCTTTTTGGAAAGTTATACATTAATTTTGTTTTCTATTGTCAAAATTCTTAATTTAAGTTATAGTCGATAAAGAATAGTTCCATCTTTTCCTTGAGCAGACCGTATGACTAGTCAATGCTTTCTAAAGGTTCAATTAGTGACATTGATTATATTATTTAAATGGTGTGGTATCTTATATTTCCAAGATTTTATCTTATTATGATAAAAAAATCTAGAAATTTCTTTTCTCTCAAGTAAATATATTTTAAAAATGGTTTCTACTGAATGAGGGAGAAGGAGGTGAGAATTTTTTAAATTTATGAAGACTATTGGCATGGCTATTTTGGCTCCACAGTTAACACTCTTGGCACCAGCAGCCAGGAAATGAAAAGACATATTGCGATGGGAAAGTCTGCTGTTAGGGACCTCTCCAAAGTACTGAAGGGCAATGGTGTCACTCTGGAGACTAAGGTGCATCTGATACAGGTCATGGTCTTTGCAATCACTTGTTATGCATCAGAGAGTTGGACAATGACCAAGGGGGATGGAAGGAGAATTGATGCCTTTGAGGTGTGGTGCTGGAGAAGTGTATTGAATGTACCATGGACTGCTAGGAAAACAAACAGATTCATCCTGGAGAGGGTTAGGCCAGGCTGCTCCTTGGAGGCAAGGATTCTGAGGCTTCATCTAACATACTTTGGACATGTTGTAAGGAGGGACCGGTCCTTGGAGAGGGAAGTCATGCTTGGTAGGGTGGAGGGACAGCGCAGGAGGGGAAGACCCTCTATGAGGTGGATTGATTCAGTGACTGGGGTAATCGGGATGGGTGTGTCAGAGGCAGTGAGATTAGCACAGGATAGAGTAGGGTTTAGGGCTGTTGTACATAGGGTCCCTGAGTTGCAAGTGACTTGACAGCACATAACAACAACAACAACAAAACAACATTGGCGTGGTAAGTGAAGGATTTGAACATTTGACTGTGGATTGTGCCAGGTGATAACTGAAGCCACTCATAAAAGCTAGAGAAGGGTTCCCTTGTGTTCATCAAACTGCCTAAAATATAAAAATTGTAGAAGAGAGAAGAGAACCCACAAAGAGTTCAGAGAAGAGATTTTTAGGATCTCTCTTCAGTTTCTCTATTTGGAGAGAATTGTTGTTATTGTTAGGTGCCATAGAGTCAAGAACAACTTACAGTGACTAGACAACAGATCTGAGCCCTGTCCTGTCCTGTGCCGTCCTCATCTCTGACACACTCGCGCTCATTGCTCCAGCCATTGTGTCAATCCGTCTTGTTGAGAGTCTTCCTCTCTGTTACTGACCCTCTACCTTTTTAAACATGGTCTTCACCACTACTTGTTACACATGAAAGAGCTGGACAATGACTAGGGATGACAGAAGAATTGATGCCTTTGAGTTGTGGGGCTGGAGAAGAAGGTTGAACATACCATGGATGGCCAAGACAACAAACAAGTCTGTCCTGGAGTGCCTCCTTGGAGGCAAGGATTCTGAATCTCCATCTCATATACTTTGGGAATATGGCCAGGAGAGACCTCTTCCTGGAAAAGAATATCATGCTTGGAAGGGTGGAGAGACAGCACGGGAGAGGAAGACCCTGGATGGGATGAATTGACATAGTAACTGGGGCGACGGAAGTAGGGATGTTGGAGACAGTGTGACTGGATCAGGATAGGGCAGAGTGCAGACTTAGGGTCATTATGAATCAACAGCACATAACAAAATAACAACAGTATCACATTCTAATTAGGATGTTTCAGCCTGATGTTGGACAATGAATAAGGAAGATGGAAGAAGTTAATCACAAGGGAGATTGTCCATCCTTCTCTCGCAGAGCAGCTGGTGCATTTGAACCGTGTGCTTTTGAAATTGCAGTGCAGCTTCTTACCACTAGACCTCCAGAGCTCCCGAAGGCCATCCGATTGGCTCCTGCAGTTCTCATCCTTATGGCACACACAGAACTGCAAAGAATTGTGGTACAGTCCGGACTCTTGCTTTCCTTATAGGAATGACTACAGCAGAGTGTTTGAGTACAGGGGAAAGGACTGCTTTCCCTTGCTTTGGAAATGTGGTGCCTCATTTGCTGGCTATTTTTTTTTTAAGTTCACAAATGCATCAAGACATATTATGATCATTTAAAAAAATAATGCCTCCTGTAGCACCTGCTCTTTGGGTGGCTTAGAGGATTACATTGTTAAGAGCTGCTCAGTCAGAATTGTCTCACAGCTGACTCTCCGTTGGGTTTTCAGAAACTGTGAATCTCAGGGGTCGGAGGAGATTGCCAATCTTTCTTCTGCAGAGCAGCTGGTGGATTTGAATGATATGCTTTTGGGTTGGCAGTGCAACTCTTTACTCACTAGGCCAACCGGAACTCAGGTTTACAAGGTTAGGGGAGTTGGTCTAATAAATGCTTATGCAATGCCTGGTCGAAAGATCAGGGACTTTGGCTGTGATTTGTGATTATAATCGTTACACTAGATTACTTTTGATGACAAGTTTTTCTTCTCTTTATAAAGTCCGATTAACTGTCCATTTCTCCTTTAACCATTCAAGAACATTTTGTCCTTGGCTGACATGGTTTGTTGCCGTGGAAAGTGAAACAAGTGTTAAGAGCGGAGACACCACCTGTCCCCAGTACTGTCAACATCATCTTTAGGTGTGCATTTCTGAAATGAGGAAGACCAAAGATATCAGGGAATCTGAATGGAAAGAATCAGCATCCCCCTGCCCCCATACAAGTGGAAAGCCCCTGCTAAAGGTGTTTGCAAGTGGGAAATACATTGTAGAGAAACTGCGCAGAGGTGGAGAATGTGGAGGACGTGGAGACACTGAGATAGATGACTTGTCTACATAGTACATCTTTAAAAGTGTGGTGATTAATTGTACATGCCGACTTGGTGAGGCTATGGTTCCCATGATCTGGCCAAACACTGCACTGCTTGCTGTTTCATGGTGTAATCCAAAGTAATATAATGCCACCACCTCCCCATTATAATATAACATAGTATCGGGTGGTGTAGTGTGACATAATGCATTGTAATGCAATGTAACCAATCAGCTGAAAGGGGAGTTTTGTTAGTATAGTGAGATATGCCTCCACTTTATAACCAGCTATTTTGGAAGAAGTAATCTCTCTCTGGATTCTAAACACTTCAGTCTCCTGACCTACGTCTGCTCCACCAGGAGGCTCCAGCCTGACTCCCAATGCACAGATTTGGATTTGTAAACCCCTGTGATTGCATCAGTCCATAATTTTCAGTAAGTCTCTCTGTGTAGCTATACATCTGTCTCACTGGTTCTGTTTTACTAGAGAATTCTGACTAACACAAACTACATTTAAGTCCTTATTTATTAGACCAACTTCTTACATATTCCAGGTTTTCTAAACGATGAGAGAGCAGTGAGAGATTGGCAGGAATTTCCTTCAGCTACTACCTCCTACACTGTAGAACCGGAGTCAGTCTTGTGGGCAAATTCTGAAGGATGTAAAACTTATCCACATGCTTGAGGAATTGAAAACTTGAAGTTCATATATAAATTTGACTGGAAATAAGTGTTGCACAGAAGAATGATAAAAGGAAAAGACTTCATTGCTAATAAACTGGATGAAGAAGAGCTTGACTTAGAATAATGTTTCAGCGTCAGTAACCAGGAGTGTGGGCAGGAGGAGTCATATATTGTAAACTACAAAAGGAAAGTTCAAGTATATCCTTTTCTACTAAAAGGATACACCAAAGTCATTGCCAATTGAAAAAAAAATCCATCATAAGAGCTTTACAACACTGAAGTGGGAGTTTCTTATAAGTGACTTTTATCACTGTTGTTGTTCAGTATAATTGGAGCCACCATCTAATTCTGTAAAATACATTGCTTGGTAGGATATACATGAAGTGTGCTAAGCATGTGGGCCCCTTAAAATAACATAGGATCACTATATTTAATTCAATTAAAATGTCAAGAGAGAAATTTAATCTCCTTGATCCATTTCTGATGATAGTTCTTGTCTGCCTGAGGCAAAGACTTTATTTCCTTAAAGTCTAAAAGCCTCTCCTAATCCATGTCTGCAGTCATAGCAACCTGGTCTCAGACACATGAACAGACACATAGAGACTAGGAAGTAAATTGTCCTTGAAAATTGTAATGAGAGACCAGACACGTGAGGTGTGAATATTGTCTCCTTACTGAGGGGCAGAGGCAGTGGCTTGTTCTTCAATGTTGTTGTTGTGTACCATCGAGTCACAATCGACCCATAGCTGACCCTCTGGCAGGTTTTCAGAGACAGTCGGTTAATTGCATGTGAG